ACTTCTAAACTACTTGCTTAAATATGATGTATGAGGGATTTTCACCCAGAGAAATCCAAGATAAGCCAAGATAAAAAACACATGATTTCTCTCCAAACCTGGACAACAAGATTTGCACTGAAAAGGAAAAACCAACACGACTTGATCTACATAGAAGAGGCCCTAAATCTCTGAGCAGGCACCCACTCTGGGCAGTTTCCTGCTGCCGATTTTATGACATCTTCAGCTTCTCCCAGAGGCCCCAACTGAGGAAGCTGTAAAACTCTGGACAAACACAGCCATTTGCTCAGAGAAAAGCCAGCGTGGGGCCCATCTGTACTTTACAAGGGCTTTGCTTGTTCTGCGTTTGCGTGGCCCCATTTACAGAGGGGCCCGCCTCCCCCAGAGCACCTGGCCACTGGCAGAGGCCTTGGCTGGGTTTTTGATATCTTCCCTAAAGGAAACATTTTTTGTGAAGAGTCAGAGGAAGTCCTGCAGGGACTGACTGACACCCTTCCCCAGGCTGGGCTCCGAGCCCTTTCTTCAAGGCCACCAGCCTGTATTTAACATGAGCTACTAATGGCCCAGGGGACAAGCAGCTTTCCAAGGACCACTGGCTCCTGGAGGCCCAGCAAAAGGCCCTCCACACAGCAGGCCCTGGATACACAGGGAGGAACCCACAGCCAAAGCAGCAGGGAGAAAAACAACCACCCTGACATTGCGATCCAGTCCTAACCCACTACCCACATTCTTGATCTTCCGATAAGCAAGGGAAACTATCGTGACGTGCCTCTGAACCACAGAAGATTTCCATGGAATTCAAGAAGTCCCTTCAGCAGTTCTAATTTTAGGCAGAACTTAGGAGAGAGGATACTGGTGACAAACAGAGGTGCGGGCAGCGGAGAGGCACTGAACAAGGCCCCTATTCTGCTTAGCACAGGTGCCAGTAACGGGACACCCCTGTCTAAGTGAGACCTGGGTGGGGAATTCAGGTGTGGTTGGGTGTTTTTTTCACTCCCAGTCACATTACATAACCCCGAGCACACTCTCCGACCTGGTACAAAGTCCTCCCTGCATCGGGCTCAACTCGGTTCCTGACATGCCAATCCTTGAGGAACAAGGCCGAGAAAAATATTTGATTTTAGCATCCAATTGTTTTTCAACACAGTTAATTATTAAAAGAAGAAAGACAGCCACAGGGGGAGTTACCCCCAAGTCTAGCCAGAATCTCCTGGTCCTAAGAGCTCCCCAAACATCACTGAATTCTATGCAGGTTCAATTACTTAAATTTTAAACAAATAATCAATTTAAAAAATACAAATATCAAACCAGAGTGGTGTACACCTGAAAGTGTTCTGTGTCAATGATATCTCAATTAAAAAAATAATAATCTGCTGTTTGCAACAGTGAGCCTGTATTTTCCCAGGACTTGCATAGAAGCTCCCAAAAGATTCTAGGACCTCCTTAATGCAGTCAGTCAACATTATCTAAACATCAGCAGCCAGTCAACTGACTTTCCACACACAGTCACTTCTAGGCTGCTGTTCCCCGAGACAAGCAGGCAGTGGGGCCCTTGCCTCGAGCCGCATGAGTCTCTTGCCTGCCCTTTTCCTTTGGGATCAGCTCACAGCAGACGACCTGATTTATGTGGACGGGCGGAAAGGCAGCCAGTAAGCGATTTTGCACACCACCATGCACTACTGACCACCACCACAGTAGAGTGGAAGAAAGGGGAAAAACACAAGGTTTCCTCTCGTCAAGGAATCAATAAGTTATTTAACAGCTGCATCCCAATGGGAGAAAAGCCAGGGTTTCTTCTGCACCCCTCCCCCTGAAAAGGATAAAACGTCCGCCCTGACAGCCGAGGACTTAACCAGATGAAGCATCATTAGAAGAAAGCAGAATGAGTCCTCTCTAGCTTTTCGATGTCCTGAGAGTCTTTGGTTTTGGGAGATGGATGGTACTAAGCCTTGACATGACTCCATTTCTTATGTTGTTGGGTTTTTGATTTTTTTTTTTCTTCTTCTTCCAAAGAGGAAATTGGCTCCCTTCCTGTGCTGCTGCTGTTCATTTTGGAGAATCAAATGCTACTAAAAAAGCCATTTTCTTTACCTTTCCTCACCCCAGTCCAACAGCATGTCTTAGAAAATAACCTAAAATTTTTCTCAAGGTGGCATTCCAAATGGGTTTCCAACACTTACACTTGTTCTTTAAAGCAAACAGAAAGGGGACCAAAGGCATCATAAACCCCTTATGGGAGTTCAAAGAAGAGAAAAAGCAGATAAGCAGGTCATTAGAAAGTCAGCTGATTTCAAATATTAAAAATTGACTTTTAGCCCTGGCTGGTTTGGTTCAGCAGTTAGAGCATCAGCTACGGACCAAAGAGTTGTGGGTTTGATTCCAGTCAAGAGCACGTACCTGGGTTGCAGTTCATCCTCGGCCCTGGTCAGGGTCATGCAGGAGGCAACCAGTCGATGTGTCTCTCCCACATCGATGTTTCTCTCTCTCTCTCTCTCTCTCTCTCCCCCCCCCCCCCCAATCTGAAGATAAATGGAAAAATATCCTCGGGTGAGGATTAAAAAAAAAAAACCTGACTTTTATTGCTGGCAACTTTATACATATGCATATTATACACTGCTCATCCTATATGCCCAAATTTTAAAAGTCCCTTGTGAAATGTCACTATCACCTAATTCATAAAGAAGTCTTTTAAGAAGAAAACTCCATGAAAATATTCAGCAACTGTCTTATGAATAAACAACCTTGGAAAGTAGACAACGCCTCTCTTTTTCCTTATCTCTCTATTCCTCCAAAGTCTGAAATTCTGCAGATCCCAAGGCATGTTTTAGTTTTCCATTCCACCTTACTTTTAAGATCTTTGCTGCCAAAACAAAACAAGCAAAAACCTTTAAAAGAAATGTCTTCCCACAGGACGTTGAACAAATGCTACTACATTCAAAGGGAAAGAATTCAGGAGCCACACAGTACAGATCCACTGAAGGAACATTAACAAGTCCAGTTTTCACTGGACTCTCGCAGAGGGAAAGGCATGCCAACTTAGTACCCACAGATCCCCCAGGGCCACAGAGCTGCACGGCAGACATGGGATGGCAGGTGGAGAGCAGAAGGGCCCATCCTGTGGTGGGTTATCATCAGCAGCGCTCTGGGCTCAAACCGGTAAATGGGAAGAACCAAACCTAGATTCTGGATTAAGGAACAAAGAGAGAGAGAAAACTCCAGATGTGAATACACTGGAACTGCAGTGGGCAGACCTGTTAGGTCACTGGGTTCTTGTTACTACTGAGCAACTGGAAACATCCATTTCTCTCCTCAAAAAACACAAGCAGCTTTATCAACCTATCTCAAATTCTTCCCTTAGTGATCAGAACAGGCGTGGGCCTCAAACCAAATCTTGTTTGATTATAAGGCATGTAGAATTCAAGTTAACCAGAAATACTCTAAGAGTCCAAGGAGGCACCAATCTTTGTCTCAAAAGAGCACTTCAATCATGAATTGGGGGCAACGGAATGCAAGGGGCTGTCTTTGAGCAGGGAATAATCTAATTCCAAGTGGCTGGATTAGAGACATTCCCCAGCAAGCAGGGTGTCTTTGAAGATAACGCTAGATGAATGTCGATTTCTGACAAAAGGCACATGCTCTGTAGAAGAATTTCAAAATCGACAAGACCAGGACAGAGGCACCTTGGAAAAGTTCACCCTGGGCAAGGTGGCAGTTGGTTCTAAAGGGGGGAAGCAGCCCATGACAGCTGAACATTCCTTCCCAAAGTCCATCTCCAAGGCCAAACCCTCTCCAAATCTTACACTTCATCAGACAAAAGCTCCTCCCTGTGGCCCAGGCAGCAGCTGAAGAGGGGCTGTCCACACCCACTCAATGCACAGCTTCCAAACCTGCCCACTTCTTTTGGAAGCTGAGCTTTTAATTAAACACCACCTCCCCGGATCTGTTGAGGCAAACTGAGGCTGGGCTAGAGCCAAGGAGAAGCTCCCTAAATACACAGGGGGAAAAAAACCCATCGCCCCCTATTCCCACCTCCAGCCAGCTCCAAAGGCTGATTATGTTTCCTTTGGATGAGTAAGAGGGCTCTGATCTACCTCTATATACCAGAAAATCCACATCCAAGGATCGGGTTATCCCCAGTCCCACCCTTCGCAGGAAAAAGCCAGGGTGTTGTTCTCCACCCCCAACACACGCGTGTGCGCGCGCACGCTCATACACGCGTGCACACACAATTTTCACAATCTTTTCCAAGAGAAAATCTGGAGTCTGTGTGTGGTGGCTACGTGAGGGGTGGGGGTGGGTAAGACACAGTTGTTTGTGGGGCCCCAATCTTGCCTTCAGGCTGGGAGCCTCAGCCAGGGAAAGGAGGGGCCCCTGCAGGGCTGCTCTGGGAACTTCTGCTCCGCGCCCCCAGGGAGGGCCCGAGGGAAGGCATGAACACCTCGCCAGCTTTGGAAGAGCCTAATGAACGCCTAATATGCTCAGATCCGCGCCCCCCGCCCCCCAGGTGGACCTGGAAGCCAAGGAGGGAAAGAAAGGCTTCCCTCCCAGTCCTCGGGCGGGGAGCTCCTTTCCAAGGCCGGGCAGGGCCCCCAACACCGCGCCAGGCGCCCCCTCCCCGTACCCGGGGGAATCAGGTGTCCGCCCAGGCATCCAGTCTCCGCGGGTCGCAGACACTCAGGCCAGCCACAGACAATGGAAAACTTGGTGCTGGGGCCCTGAGCCCCCCAGGAAAACGAGATGGAGCCGCCCCCTGGGACAATGAGCGGGGAGAGGGGAGGGGGCATCAGACACCCCCGTGGAAGCCGCCCGCCGGGTGACCCAGCAGAGCCCGGAACGGCGCCCCGGGTGAGCAGGTGACACCCGGGCCGCAGCGCTCCCGCAGGTGTCTATCGGCCGCCACGCAAACAAGGACCGGGCGGCTGGCCCGGGGCGGAGGCGAAGCTCCGCGGCCAGGGCAGCGCGCGGCGGCCGGCGCCGCAGCCGCGCCCCCCGCGACCTACCTTCATATCGCTGATGATGGTCTGGAAGAGGCCTCCGAGCGCGCTGCATTCCTTCTCAATCACAGCCTCCATTTTCCCGGCGCCGGCAGGGACGACACACGCTCTGGGCCGCCTGGCTGTGCGCGGGACCGGGGCTCGCTCACCCCGGCAGGAGCTCACCCTCCGAGCGACCCACCTCAGACTCGCCGCCTCCCCTGCAAAGAGGACGAAGTGCCCGAGAGAGTCTGTTCTCTGCCCCAAATAATCACAAAAATGTGCAAAGCCGAACCGCTCTCTAGGGTGATTCGCCTACATGCAGCGCCCGGCTCCTGGCCTTAAAAATGCCCGGAGAAGGCTGACAATCAGACCACCACTGGTGCCCACGACGGAGCCGGCAAAGCCCATCCTGGAGCAGAGAAAACCGCCCGCTGACCCTGGGCTAGCGCCATTTAAAAAAATAAAAAATGCACGGTTTGCTAAATTAATAGATTTTTTTTTTTTGGAAATTAGAAAAATAATATCGCCCAACAGCAGAGCGGGTTAGCTCGCAGCGCCCGGATCTGTTGCTCGCAGCCGCGGCCGCCGCCTCCTTTTCACTCCTGCGCGCCCGGCCCCGGCGCTCGCTCTGGCTCGGCTCCCGGGGACGTTCGGCGAGGCGCACGCGCGCTCGCGGCCGTGCGTCCGCCGCGGGGGTGCAAGGAAGGCGCGCGCTCAGGCGGGGCAGGGAGCGCGCGCCCGGGAGGCGCGTGGGGCGCAGGCAGCGGAGAGGATCGCAGCCGGGCGGGAGCCGCCTCCAGCTCGCACAGGGCACCTTCTCCTCCCCTGGCCGCCGGCCGCGGCGCCGAGAGGGCGTGTCCGCACGAGGCCGGCGGACGCCCACCCCACAATGGCTGCGGGCGCCGCCCCCCGGGACTCACGGTGGCCCCCTTAGCGCAGTGCCCAGCAGAGAGTAAGCGCTCAGCACGGCAAGAAAACTGCTGCTGCTGCTGCTGCTGCTGCTGCTGCTGCTGCTGCTGCTGCTGCTGCTGCTGCTGCTGCTGCTGCTGCTGCTGCAGCCTTCTCAGAATAGGCCCGGTTTGTGATATCAGGACTGCAATGCCAAGTCACGACGGTGAACAGCCAAATATGTCCTTTAAGGAGAGTTCGGGCGTGTCCTGCCGCGGGATGCGGAGTTCAATAAAGTTGCAGGAGACTGGGAAAGTGGATTGATTTGCCCTTGCAAAATAAATGGTATTAGAGCATTATTGCTGACTGCCCGTGGCTTGGACGGTTGTTTTTCAGGCCCACTGAGGTCATTAGTGTTGGTGTAACCGCAGGGAGCCCTGTTGGGAGGTTTAACCTGGAAAGAGAGCGCATGTGCCCAAGTTGACTTGGGAGCTGGTGGTTCAATATCACAGCTCCACCGCCTGACTGCACAGCCAAGATCCCTCATTTAGATTAACATCAAATAGACAAGGAGGCGGGAAGCCCAATGAGTAGCTTTTTAAAAACCTGAAAACATAAGCACCTAGTTCTGGGATGTTCCCTGGACCCTTGAGCTGACCGTTTGAAGCACAAGCAAAATGAAAATGCAAAAGAAACCATATGCAAAATGTTACAGACTTGTGTCAGACTCAGTGACAGAAGTTCTGGCTTTGAAAAACTGCGTGAATCAAAGAGGCATAGAGGGGTACATCACAGCTCAGAAGATCATTTTCCCCTGGGCCACTCTGCCCAATTCTTAACCACAGCTCCCTTTAGTTCTCCCCCCAAAATCATAAGAAGCAGTGTTACTTCTGGAATGAACTGATCTCTTGTGCAACCCTGCTAGATCCTATTCCCCAAGGTAAATTTGACATATAGGTCTCATCTTCACCTTGCCAATAACAGTGCCTGACACATAGTTTGTTCTCAATCATTATCATTATTACGACTTTAATACTATAGATACTGTAGTGATCAAGATCACTGTGTTTGGCTCAGCGGTTAGAGCATCGGCTCTCGGACTGAAGAGTGGGGTTCAACTCTAGTGAAGGGCACTTACCTCGGTTGCAGTTGGTCCTGACCCAGACCCTGGTCTCGTGTGGCAGGAGGTAACTAGTCCATGTGTCTCTCTCACTTCAGTGTTTCTGTTTCTCTCTCTCTCTCTCCCTCCCCCTCTCTCTGAGGATAAATGGAAAATATCCTGGGTGAAGGGTTAAAAAACAAAAAAAAAAGATCACTGCTTTTAGAGCCAGATTGCCTGGGTTCAAACTGCAGTTTACAATCTAACTTCGTGGCCTGGGGCCATACTACCTGGGCCTCAATTTCCTCATGGGTAAATGGGGATAAAGACAGCATCTATTTCATAGGGCTGAACTGTGTTTTACCTAGACGAATACATGTAAAGCATTTAAAGCAGTTACTGGCATACAGTAAATAAACACTCAATAAATCTTATCAACAGAAAGATTCATTGCAGCATTATTCACAATCGCCAAGATGTGGGAATAACCTAAATATTCACACCGGATGAATGGATAAAGAAAAGTGTGGCATATACATAAAAATGGATTATTATTAGCCTTAAAAAGGAAGGAAATCCTGCAATACTTGACATCATGGACGAACCCTGAGGACATTATGATAAGTGAAATAAGCCAGTCACAGGACAAATACTGTATGATTTCACTTGTATTAAGTTTCTAATAAAATAGTCAAACTCTTAGAATCAGAGAGTAGAATGGTGGTTGCCAGGGGCTGGGAGTGGGTGCTAATCAATGACCATGAAGTCTCAATTATGTAAGCCACGTTCTAGTAATCTGCTGTGCAACATGTACTTACAATTAACCATACTGTATTGAACACTTTAAAATGGGTTAAGATGGTAGATTTCATGTTGTGCTTTTACCACAATGAAATCAATTTTTAAAAAAAGAAGGAGGAGCAGGAGGGACCAAGTCAAGGCTGTTTCCAGCCCTGGTCCCAGAGGGCACGTGGCAAGCCTATAACATTGGCGTGCTGTCCCTCTGACATTGCCGAGGGCCTACTGTGTACAATGTAGGCATTTTATGTGTATTATTTCTAACCCTCACCACAACCTTAAGGAGGTTGTCATACTAGCCTTCGTTTTACTATTGCAAAGTGGCAGGCGGGACTTCAACCTTGGTTTTCAGACTCCCATGCCTGAGGTCTCGCTTTTACCCATCCCCCAGCCCCCTTGGCATAAGGAGCTCCTGACTTAGCCCAAAGGACTCTGTGTTCAGCTTTCCTGCCACATACCTGAATTCAAATGCCCTGAACACCCAACCTTAGCTGTGTTTACAAAGCGCACCTCCTGGTCCCTTTTCCCTAGGGTCTCTACTGGCCTGGGGACTGAGAAACAGGCCCTTGTCTTTCATGAGAAAGTGAAGCATCCAAAGTCACCTAGAGAGGGAGCCTAAGAAAGTTCTACCAGGCAGGAAAGGCCCAGAGATGGGACAACACTTGACATTTTCAATAAGCCTGGGGTCAGGCTGGTAAACGGAAGGATTCTGAGCAGAAAAAGGACAAGGTCAGATTTACGCCCCTTACATTACATTCTTTCCCAATATTTAAGCATTGCCGTAACTTTCTCCTTGCTTTGGAACACCCAACATTCATTGCACAGACACCAAGACCCGATTAATATGTAATTCCTCCCAGAAGTTTTTTGCGTTTTGTTTTGTTTTGTTTTGTTTTGTTTTGAATAGCTCCTAGAAGGAGGAGCCCAAAGGAATGAATCTCTATCAGAGGAATCTCAACCCCTGTGATCCTGGGAAGGAGAGACTGGGAGGCAATGATGCCTTCCCCAAGCAGCTCCCATTATCCTCCTTCACCCTGGGAATGTGGGTCAGGATGTCCATCACCATCTCCTCATCCTGTGACCTCTAGCAGTCTGTTTGATCCTCAGAGCCAGCCTCTGGTGTAGCCAGGGTTGCTAACTGATGGGCTGCTCTTAGGATTGAAATGGGTGTCAAATGCCTATCACATAGTAGTGCTACACAGGCGAGTTCCCTTCCTTCCCAGAAGTGATTTTCAACCTTGGCTGCATCAAGGGCTCTGCCTGGTTCCCAAACTTGACAGCAGTTGGAATCCCCTGGGGGAATTTTAAATCACCAGTGCCTAGGCTCCACTACCAGGGACACTGATTTAGTGGGTCTGGGCTGTGCCCTGGGCATCAAGACTTTTTGAAGCTTTCCAGATGATTCCAATAAGCCGAACTTAAGAATCCTAATCTAAGAAACTTTAAACGAAGATATCTTACCCCTAAACAATTAAAGTAGAATCTCTGGGGACTGAGCTACAGACTTTTTTAAATGTATCATACATATTTTTTTTCTTTATTGATTTTAGAGAGAGAGGAAGGGAGAGGTAGAGAGAGATAGAAACATCAATGAGAGAGATCATTGATTGGCCGCCTCCTGCATGCCCCCCACTGGGGATCAGGCTCACAACCTGGGCATGTGCCCTGACCAGGAATTGAACTGGCGACCTCTTGGTGCATGGGTCGATGCTGAGCCACTGAGCCACACCAGCTGGGCTGTATCATACATACTTTATTCCATCCTCATATAAGAATATGGGGCAGGGGGGTGGTGTGTGTGTAATTTGTCATTATTGGTTTTACAAAAATGGGATCACAAACACACACACACTTTTGGATTTTGCTATTAACACTTCCTGTTAACACTTTTTGCTATCAATGATTTCTATTTTTTAACAAAACCATTCAGGTCAACTATTATTACTCTACCACTTTCTTTTTTCTTTTTTTCTTTTTATGTTTTAATTTTGACATAATTTCAGACATACAGAAACGCTGCAAGAGTAGGACAGAGGTTTCTCATTTACCCTTCATTAGATTCTCCAAATGTGAATCCATTATGATATTTGCTTCATGCTTGGGGATGCTTTCAGGGCTCCTCAGGTGACTTTAATGTGAGGCCATGTTGCCATGTGAGGCCCCCTGGTGTGTCTGTGAAACTTCAGGTGCTGTTTGTGACCCTCCTGAGGGAGTTGGTATGAGAGGCCACTGTGCGAAGTGGTTAAGGGGGTAGGCTCAGGGTCAGGCTGCCTGGCTTTGAATGTTGGCTCCTTTGCTTCCCCGCTCTCTGTGCCTTGCTTTTTTCATCTGTGAAATGAATAATAGAAATGCTAACTCCAAAGGCTGTGTGAGGACTGAATGGGTTTACTTAATCTGGTACCTGGCACACAGTAGGACTCAATGAAGGTTAGCTATTAATATGTATTAATCATTACCATGGTTCATCTGTGAAATACAATTGTTTGATCTTGCTCTATAAGCAAAATTCTTCATGAGCCTGCAGCCACTAAATCTCTTAGAAACCCTGAGGAGTTGTCAGTGTATAAAGTGTCACACATTTAGAACAGAATCCTCTTTTGAAAATGAAACTAGCAAGAATCAAGAAATAATATCTGTCACAATGAGTCACCATAAGAAATGTTTTGCATGTGTTTGTGGATGGTGGCCTAGGGTACACCCAGGTGTAACCTCAGAGTACAGAATGGGTCACTGGGTCAGAAGACTAATAAAAAAAAGGCGTGTCCTCACAAACTGATCGGTTCGTAGGCCAAAGTGATGCTGGGACAGCAGGGTCACAAGCCTGTGCCTTTGGGGGTCAGATGGC